TTCCTACAGGGCTGAGGCTGGCCCGGCTCCTGCGTCTGTGGAATGTCATTTCCTACAGGGCTGAGGCTGGCCCGTGCTCTTGGGAACAGCTACCAGACAGTCTCGCCGAGTGCACACAGAGGGCATGGGCGTGTCAGGAGCACAGGGAGTAACGGAGATCCATCAATTCGTTCGTTTATTGATCAAAAGCCTATCTGCAGACACTCCCCCGACCGCACTCAGCCTGTGCTCAGAAGTGACCACAGTTCAACACACTCCAAGATCCAAGCCTTTACAAATCTGGAGGCAGGCCTCCCGTGTGGTCGGCACTGGGGAGGCCGAGAATCCCCGGCAGTGCCCACGTCCTGGCTACCGGGGCCTCTGTACAGGCCACATCTCTGCAGAGATTGGCTTGCAGCGATTTCTAATAAATGAGGTTTTCCCTGCTGTGACCTGTGGGATGATCAAGAGCTTCCTGCTAACCCACTAGTGTTCCCATCCTCTTCCAGACACAGAACGTGCACCGTGACTGACTCCACCGTGTACCTAGGGAGAGTCATTTACAATATTTTATCACTCCCTGGAGATGTGGAGCGGCTCATGCCTGTAATCCCAGCAGTTTGAAAGGCTGAGACGGGCGGATCACAAGGTCAGGACTTCAAGACCAGCCTGGCCAATGGGACAAAACCCTGTCTGTACTAAAAAATACAAAAATTACCAGGGTGTGGTGGTGCACGCTTGTATTCCCAGCTACTCTGGAGGCTGAGGCAGGAGAATCCCTTGACCCAGGAGAATCCCTTGACCCAGGACACAGGTAGCAGTGAGCTGAGATCTCACCACTGCACTCCAGCCTGGGCAGCACAGTGAGATACCATCTCCAAAAATAAAAAATAAAATGAAATATTTTATCACTCCACAGTAACTTCAATTTAAATTATTTGGTGAGGGACAGAAATCCTGACAGGGGGCCCAAGACCTCCTGCCACGCCGAGGGAAGCCCGAGGAGCCACAGAAATCAGGTTTCCCTGGAAGCCACCGCTCTCTGAGGCATTTTCACCATAGGATTTCCTACCTGGGAGCTGCAGGAAGAAGGGGAATGTGGCCTTTCAAACACTTGAGTCTGTCTCCGCACAAAATGTTCCGTCAGCAAAGACCGGACCCTGGTCCCGTCCGGGTCCCCCTCTGTGCTGGATACGGCCTAAAGCAGCCCTACCAAGAAGAGAGCGGCCGCACCCACCCCCGCCCCCTGCCTGGCACTGCCCACCCCAGCCGGCCCTCCCAGGGCTCGAACCTGCTTCAGAGCTGAAGGAGTAGGAGGCGCCTAGCCACCTGTGCCCAGCACCACCCGAGTTATCCAGGCTGTGTGGGGGAATCGCCTGGGCCCCAACAGCAGGCGACCTGAACTAGACCCTCCAGCCCCGGGACCCCCTGCAGTGAAATGAGAGACAGCCCAGGGCCACAGGCCCCTGACACCCGGATCCCATCTGAGGCCTGGCCCAAAAGCCAAGACAGCAGAGCCAGCCCCACAGACAGGCCTCCGGTGTCAGAGTGCCCATCCAGCCTCTTCCCAACACACTTTCACCCTGGCCACTCAACGTGGCTTGGCTGCTGTCAAGATCAAGCAGTCTCCACCCCCAAGCTCTCATCTCAGCCGGGACCGCCCCCTTTCAGTTACGCAGGACGACTCTGGAGCTTCCTCCAGCTTCCGCAGCCTCTGTTTCCCCATCCATAGAGATGGGGCCGCGTGACCCTCTGGCGGGCTCGAGTTGAGCAGTCACTGAGGCCGGCAGCCAGCGGGAGCGGAGCGGAGCCCCCTTTCGCACGCCCAGCGACCCATGCGGAGAGCCTGGACAAGGAGTTTCAACTCCGTGATGCAGCAGTGCCCGGGCCCGTCCCAGCTGTGAGCAGTTGGGCAGCAGGAGAGAGAGGCTTGAGCCCGGGGCTCAGGCTCTGAAGGGCCCCCACGGAGCTCCAGCCCAGGGTCCCCCGCGGCAGCCCCGGGGGCATGTCATCTGCTGCATCTGGGCGGCTTCTGCCGGTCACACTCCATTTGGGAGTGCCTGGGAGAGCCGGGCCGGCATCCACCCCACCAGGCGGAGAGCAGGTCTTGGATGCCCTTCTGGCTCAGGGAAGCCCCGTCTCCAGAGCCTCTGGGAAAGCTCCCAGGCAGCGTGAGCAGAGGTCACAGCTCCCCACAGAGGAGCCTCGGTGGAGAAAGCCTCTCCCCAGTCCGGGGGCAGCGGGGCCTGGCCTGATGCCCACCAAGCCCTGGGGTCATGGGGCAGCAGCCACGCCCTCTCCACCCCAGGCAGTGGCCACCCCAGGTCCAGCAGGGACGCCCAGAAAGGCTTTCACAACTTGACCTCTACAAAGCCAGGCACTGGTGACAAAAGGCAAAAGGCAGGTGTGGCCCTGGGGACCTGTGTCCAGCCAAAGCTGAGTGAGCAGCCAGGGAGCCCAGCCATCCCCCACCCCCCATCCCCCGCCACCCCAACTCAGCTCCATATCCATTTAACTGATGAATAAACAGACAAATCACGGCCAATGTGTAACACAAGCCAGTCCACACCCGGCCGGCAGAGGACACCAGGCCAACAGGCCTCCCAAGTTGGGGGGGCTGCACCCCAAGGATACCCTGGGCCACAGGGACAGCAGAGAACTCCATGCCAGGGGTGTGGGGGCCGGGCGGTGAGCTGCGCCAGCAGTGCTGAGCCTGGACTGTCCCTTCCACAGAGGGCACCAGGCCGGCCTGGAAGAGGGGGACAACCCCAGCAGCCGGTCTTCACAGAGCCCAGAGCGAGGAGCAGCTGTGCCGATACTACGGACGGAAAACTGACGTATGCAGAGGCTCTGCGACCAGCCCCAAGTGTCCAACCCGAGGCAGGACCAGAGACCCTGCTCTCTGGCCCTGACCTCAGAAAGTCCAGCCAGTGGGGCTGCTCCCTGAGTCCAAGCCACCCTGGCCGGGGAGCTGGGGGCTCAGGGAGGTTCAGGGAGCCCCGTGCTCAGAGCAAAGGAGCTGAGAGGCCTGGTGCAGGCGGGAGGGCGGGCTGCTCGGATGCTAAGGTCTCCCCAGAATCCCCACATGCTGCTGCTCTACAGAGGGGCGTTCCCAACCCAGGGCCCTCGGGAGACGGCTCAGACCCCACATGCAAGGGCTCCCCATGCTTTGCCCCAGTTCTGGACATGGTCACTCTCAGGAGGCAGAAATCGGAAGGAGGAACAGAGGGACAGAGGGGCTGACCAACGCAGGCCCAGGCAGGGGCGGCCAGGCAGAGAGCTGCTGGCCTGGCAGGAGCCTCAGGAGATGCTGCTGGCCAGGAACAGCCACGGCCAGGGGTCCTGGACTCAAAGCACAACGAACCCCTGGCGGCACCACAGGTCAGACGCAGAGCGGGCGCCGAGGCCCAGGCCACCTGGGCAAGAGGGCCGTGGGCTGGGCTCCGTCCCATCCTCCTCACGGAAGTAACCTTGGGCTGGGACCTGACTGACCAGCACCAGTCCACCAAGACCCCGATGGCCTCAGCCAGGTGAGGGCTGAAAGGAGAGGCCGTTTCCGAGGACGTGGAGGCTCATCCAGGACGCAGGGCATGGACCCTGGACTGGAAAGGCCAGACACACACTGGGGGCGGCAGGGGCTGATGCCCTCTCGGAACCCAGGAACTCGGAGAAGCCTCTGCCTGGGGAGTCCCAGGCCCACCTCGGAGGCTGCATGCCCAGCGGCCCCCAGGAGAGACCCCCTGCAAGTGGCCTGGCTTTTTCCTCTGGGACCATCCCCTACCCCAAAATCCTCCCAGATCACACTCCACGGAGGGTCTGCTGAGGGCACACTCAAGGCCGCACGCACGCTGGGGCACACTCGCGGGGCACACGCCCCACTCGGCCAGGTGGGTCCCCGGCCAGCGCATCGCCGCTCAGCTCTTCATTCCCATCCCAAAATGCCTCTCACACAAAATGGCCGGTCCCAGAGCTCGGCGGGCCCGCGTGGAGCTCGGATGCGAGAGCAGCTAGCGCCCTGGCGCGGGGAGGCCGCGCGCGCCCACGGAACACGCCGAGCACCCGTGTGCGCACGAGCGCAGGCTCGGCCGCCCCCCAGCAGCCCGGCCCGAGGCAGCCGTGCCTGAGTCCCCCAGGGAGCGGGATCAGCCCCTCCAGGGCCAGGGCCGGGGGTCTCGGCTCTGCCGCAGCCCCTCCCCCGGCCTCGCTCCGCCAAGGACGGGGTCCTGAGCCCAGATGGGCACGGGGGTGGCCGGCGGCTGCAGAGGGGTCGGAGCCGCGCCGCGAGCGGAAGCTGCGGGGGCTGCGCGGGGCCGGGGAGGGGCCTCGGCGGCGGCGGGGCCCGACAGGCGGCTGCGCTCGGCCGGGGCTGGGGTGGGGGGGGTGGGGGGGGTGGGGGTCATGTGAGGGCCCCTCCCCCACTTCGGCAACCCAGAAGCTCCCCTCAGCCTGAGGGACAGAAGCTGGGGGGATGGCGGAGGAGAGCCCAGACCCTCCCCGCCACCCCCGCCTGGTGGGGCGGCCCCAGCCCCGAGGGTCCCCCAGGGTCCCCGAGAGTCCTCGAAAGCCCGGACCCAGCGCCCGCCACCCTCCCTCCCGGCCGGTCCTTTGTTCGGCGCCGCGGCCGCGGGGAGGGGCCTCCCTGGTGAGGAGGGGGCTGGGGCGCCCGCCCTTCTCCGTCCCGCGGGGGAGGGGCGCGAGACCCGGCCCGGAGCCCCGCACGCCGACCTGAACTGCCCCGGACCCCGGAACCCCCTCCTGCCTGCGCGCTCCAAAACGGCTCTCCAAAATCTCTCCCGTCTCCGCCCGGCACTTCGGCGGGGGGCGCCGTCCCGGACCCGGACCCAGACCCCACGCGCAGTGACGCGCCGCGCGCGCTCCGACCCACGCGCTGGGGGTGCAGCCGCTGCCGGGGGGCAGACGGCGGGGGGGAGCGGGGGGGGGACGGCGGGGGGGAGCGGGGGGGGGACGGCGGGGTTGCCGAGGGGGGCCCGCCGCGCCCCGCGCCCCCGCCGGCCACTCACACGTAGGCGTGGTAGATGAACGCCCAGCCGCGCGGCCGCTCCAGCACGTTGTAGAGGAAATTCTGCAGCTTGCGGTAGAAGGCGTTGCGCTTCGGGGGCTTCCCGGCGCCCGCGCCGCCCGCGCGGGGCTTGCTCAGGATGCTGCCGCGCTTGGGGGCCTCGGAGCCGGCGATCAGCAGCGCGCCGTCCCGAGTGGAGTCGGGCGCGCCGGGGTCCAGCCCCACGAAGCCCACCTTCAGCTTCTTCTCCCCGCTCGGGCCGGGGTACACGCCGCCGTTGCGCGACTTCTGCACCATGGTGCCGGGCGGCGCCTCGGCCGGGCGCGGGCTCAGCGGGGGCGGCGCTCGGGGGGCGGCGGGGGCCCCAGCCCAGGGCCCGGGGCCGGGAGCCGCATGGCCGAGGCGGCGGCGTTCCTGCCGGGCTCGGGCCGCGCGCGGAGACGCTGCGGCCACCTCGCTCCGCGCGCACCTCGCCGCCTGGCCCGCGGCCGCGCGGCTCCGCCCGCCGCCTCGCCCCGCCCCGCCCCGCGTTAACCCCCGCGATGCCACGGGGGCGGGGAGGGGAGCGGAGGGGAAGGGAGAGAGGAGGGGAGGGGAAGAGAGAGGAAGCGGGGAAGGGTAGGCCCGACCCCCGTTTCGCAACGCCGCCGGTGGGGGAAGGGGGTGGGAGCGGGGACGGCAGGACCAGAACCTATGGGCTGAGCCTGCCCACCCCCCACCCCTGCCGTGTGCACACTGAGCCCGCGGTTACCTTAGAGTCTCACAAGACCAACCAAGCGGACCTTCCCGGTGGCCCCAGTGCTCTGTGGGGTCCCAGTGGGGTCCTGGGCTAGAGTCTTCTCAGCTGGACCCTGGGAGTGGACACCTCCGGAAAGGGGTGGCGGTATGGGACCTCCCCAAGCCTCTGTTAGGGTTCAGCCCACGGAGACCTCATGCTCTTGGCTCAGGGTTGCTCAGGCAGTGGGATCCCCTAGACCCCAGGGTGTGGACAAGGAGGGTCTGCGGAGGCTGGAGGTGTCTGGAAGGAAAGCAGCCCGGGCAAAGGGGGCATCCGCAGAGGCCCCAAGGCGAGAAGAGGAGAAAGGGCCGCGGGAGAGTCACCCCTAGAGGGACTTGAAGCCCCTCAAGGGGCCTGGACTTTGTTCTGCAGACCCCAGAAGTGGCTCGCGGCAGTGCCAGGGACTGGAGAGTGGCCCCAGGGCAGCAGAGAGGCCAGTGGGGAGCCGAGTGCCACACCTCAGGACAAAGAAGTCAGATCTGTCCCCGCACAGATGGGACGCTGTTTCCTTGAAGGCAAGTGGGCGGACGTGGCCTGCCCACGGCCAGGAGCCCTGTGTCCTGGAAGGGGTCCCTCTGGAGCTGCTGCTGGGAGTTGAAGGGACCCCTGAGGCTCCGTGCTATCTGCCCCCCGGGTGCCCCACCACTGAGCCTTCCCCTGCACACCCAGGAGCCCAGCCTGTTCACAGGTTCGCCTGGCACCATGAATTCTACCCAGAGAAAGTCCCTCTGCTGACTGGCTGGCACTGTCCTCGCAGGTGACTTCCTCATAACCCACACTGACCCTGGCGCGGGGCCAGCCCTTGGGTGGTGTTTGCCCTTTAGTCTCCAGAGCTGTGACTCTGGGGCCTGTGTTGTTGTTGCTGTTGTTGTTGTGACTTGGCTGAAAACATAAGGATCGATGCAGGCCAAGTGCTAACCTGTGAATTATCCAGGATGCTGGGGGTCAGCGGCAGCTTACACAAGCTTGTGCACACGCCACACACACACACACACACACACACACACACACACACACATATCCAGGGCCCGCTGCAGACCCCGCCTCCCTGCCTCCCTGCCCACGAGTTGGCTGTGATTACCAGCTTCAAGTGGGCTTGCCCCAAGTGGCTGCGGTTTCTCTCCATCGTGAAGGCAGGAGGCACCAGCCTGTTCCGTTCAGGGGAGGGAGAGGACCGCTCCGTGCAGAAGAAAGAAGGTACCGCGGCGTCTGCGTGCACACGCCGGCGGGTGCTGCTGCCTTTCCCACTCACCAGAAGATCCAGGGGAGCAGCCGTAGCTCCAAATGTAACACGGCAGGGCTGGGGCACCTCATCCTGTGGGTGGAAGCCCCAGACCCCGGGTGCCCCTCGGCAGTGCCTGGACTGCACACGGCCCCTCGTGAGGAAGCAGGCATCTCAGGTTTGAGTCAGAGCCAAGCGGGACCCAAGATCAGGGCTGATCCACAGAGGTTGAAGGAAAAGCAGTACCAGCTCCCGTTTCAGCAGATGCCCCAGAACCGAGACTCTAGCAAGGATAACGGCTCTCTGCTGTTCCAGGACATTGGGGGAGACAAACCTGCTCGTCTCATTTTTCAGAAAAAAAAGGGGAACACCCTGCTGAGGCCTCGGGGAGCCATCGGCTGCCTTCACAGCCTCCTGGGGGTGGCTGAGAGCCCCCGTAGAGGCCAGGCTGGAGGGGCCGGCTCGGGATGCCGATGGAGCTGTGCACCCAGCAGCTTGTGGTTCTCTCATGTACAAACAGTGTTGGCTCCAGCAGCTTTGCCACACCTTGGAAGGTTCTGGAAAGTGAATCCTGCATCAAGGCTTGAAAATCTCTGCTTCCTCCTTTGTTTAGGATGTCCTTTCAAAGAGCTAGCTCATTAATCATTTATGTTTTTAATTTTGTATCTTGCACACCCACGGGCTATATTGTCAGCAATCTGGTTACCAGCATGCCTGCCCCCCGTCCCCTCCTCTGCGCCCAGGCAAAGCCAGTGGTGAAAATGCCCAGTTGGGGTAAATTTCATGCAAACAGGAGGAATTCCATTTACTTAAAAACAGATGGGAAAATCGTTCAGGCTCAAGCAGTTTTTGCCAAGATTGCATCGACAGGATTCCAGAGAGGATGAGCAGAATTCAGACGTTCATGGTGCCAGCTCCAGCAGGGGAGACAGTCAGTCTTCGCCCAGGCGGCCAGGGTGCCGTGGATTCCACGAGGGTGCTGTCCCTTCAGCACCTCCAGCACCATCCTCTCCACAGGAACCTGAAAGCCCGGCCCCTTCTCTGGTCTCCTCCAGGCAAGTAACCTCGAGGCCTGCTGGATCTCCCACATCACTGGACTGCACTGAGCAGCCGGGGACATGAAGATTGCGCCGCCAGAACTGGCTGCTCCCGTGGGATCAAAGGCCAGCTCATCTGCCCCCAGAGTCCTCCCCAGCAGAAAGCTAACCCCAGGGCTGGGACCACCCGCTGCCCTGGCTCCCCCCGGGCTTCTCCCACCATCCTCCCTGGAGCCTGGCACAGAGAGGGGCCGGAAGCCAATGCCTGAAGCACATCTGGGAGAAGCCACAGATAGCCCTGCCCATGTGGTGTGGCCGCGGGGCAGGTTCGGGGCCTCCGGAACCCCCTCCTCGGCTCTCCTGCAGGTGCAGGACCCCAGGCTCACAGGCTCAGCACGAGAACGGCAGGACCAAAAGTGACAGACAGAGGCCAGGCCAGGCGGCTCATGCCTGTCAGCCCAGAGCTTTAGGAGGCCAAGGCGGGCAGATGGTTTGAGCCCAGGAGTTCAAGACCAGCCTGGACAACATAGAAACCCTGTCTCTACAAAACTGCAAAAATTATCCAGGTTTGGTGGCCTGCCTGTGGTCCTAGCTACCCAGGAGGCTGAGGCGGGAAGATCGCTTGAATCTGGGAGGTCCAGGCTGCAGCCAGTCACGATGGCACCATTGCACTCCAGCTTAGGAAACAGAGTGAGACCCTGTCCCACAGAAAAGAAAAAAAAAGAAAACTAAAATTTAACCAGGCGCACTGGTGGGTACCTGCTGTCTCAGCTATTTGGGAGGCTGAGGCAGGAGGGTCACTTGAGCCCAGGAGTGGAAGCTACAGTGAGCTCTGATCACACCCCTGCACTCCAGCCTGGGCAGCAGAGCAAGACCTTGTCTCAAAAAAAAAGAAAGAAAGAAAGAAAAATTAATTAATTAATTAATTAATTAAAAACAAAAATGAGGGCTGTGCATGGTGGCTCCCGCCTGTAATCCCAGCACGTTGGGAGATTGAACTGGGTGGATCCTCTGAGGTTAGGAGTTCGAGGCCAGCCTGGCCACCATGGTGAAACCCCATCTCTACCAAAAACACAAAAATTAGGTGTGGTGGCTCACCCATAATCCCAGCTACTTGGGAGGCTGCGGCAGGAGAATCACTTGAACCTGGGAGGAAGAGGCTGCAGTGAGCCAAAATTTCACCACTGCAGTCCAACCTGGGCGGCAAGAGCAAGACTCCGTCTCAAAAACAAACAAACAAACAACCCCGAGGAACCCAGCCCAGGCATCAGGGCTGCTTCTGGCCGCTCCTGTGGGGCCGTCAGCCTCGGGCGGCTCAGTTCCCGCAGGTTGTGGCCCCCTCGAGAACAGCCAAGATTTTATGCTCTGTTGACTGTGTGCTGCCATCCGTGGGACCTGTGCCCGGCGTTCCGAGGGCCTCGGCACCCGTGACAACGGCTGGCGCGGACGCTGGAAAGCTGGAAAGCAGGGCCTTCTGGGCCACCACCCCGTCCCGTCCCCCCCCCGCCCCGTGGAAAGGGCGGGAGCTGCTTCCCAGTCACGGCGCCGTCAGAAAGACAGATGACCCGACAGAGGCCCAGAGGAAGCTCCGTCGGCCAAGAAACAGGATTTAATTTGGGGAAATGAGGAAATGAGGACAGACAGGTTCTCAATCACCTCACCTGGGCCAGAGCGACTGCGGCTTCAGTCCTGTAATTTGGGCGACAGGAAATGCCTCCCCAGACGGAGAGGTCCGGCCCCCCCAGGAATCTCCATTATTAGGAAGAGGAAGGGCTCTATTATCCAGCGTGCAAGGGACTAAGGAGAAGATTTAAGATAGGAAAGCATTGATGGTTTTTAATATCTTACACTGAAGTCAATAAAAATTTAATTTATAGGTTTTTTTAAAGGACCGGGGCTCTCAACAAGCTTCCCTAGCCCCTGGCAAGCCGGCTAATTGCATGAGGGAGTTGACTTGTACTTCCCAGCCACCAATAATGCCGTCAGCTGCGGAGCCCATGGTCACCTGTGCCGGCGGGAGCAGGCAGGGCAGCCACGGTGGCTCCGGAGGCATCCGGAAGGGGCGGAAGTCAGCCTGGAGCTCTGGGGCCTCTCTGGTAGTCCCACATCCCCAAACCCCATGTGTGGTCATGGCTGGTCCCCGGTGTCACAGAGGGCCTCCCACACGCCCCTCCATCGCCTTCAGGCAAATGGAGAAGCTGTGACAATGGTCCTGTTCTGTGGCAGATACCTCGAGAGGTTCGCAGGCCCCGCTCACTCGGGGGGGAGGCCCAGGCCCCGCTGTGGACCCGACATCCAGACTCCTGGCACCTCGACGCTACCCAAACAGTCGTCTCCTCATCGAGGCCTCCTCGCTCCTGAGACCTGGCCCTGCCACAGGCTCCGGGACCGCCGGCCCCTCTGTCCCTATCCTCCCAGCCTGGGCACATGGCCACCCCCACAGCCCTGAGCAGCCAC